GGATCCATTGGCTTTGCGCTTGATCTTGAAAACTCACTTGATGCCAATAGCATGTTGTCCTTTTGGCAACTTTGCCACTCGAAACACACCTTAATGTTGCATCGAGTCAACCTCTACATTAATGGCCTTGCGCCAGTGGATTTGATCATAGCCATTGATCGCATCTTGGAACACAAGTCGTTCGGACAAGTCAGAAGCTTCCACCGCATTAGCACTTACACGCCAAAACGCAGGTATAGAATCACTGTCGCTGTGCAGTTGCGCGTCTTTTTCTTCTTCTTCCGTTGAAACGCGTTCTTTCTTTTGCATAGGTCGATATCTGGTACGCCGTTCGTAGAGATCTTCGGGTGCGCTTGTTTCTACTAAACTAGCCCTTTGATGCTGATGGTGATGGCTTTGTGACATGCGGTTCGCATCTCTTGTAGCTGATCGCTTTTTCCGCCTCCTTGTTAGCCTGAAATCCGATGGGGGCGCTGATTTCATGATGTCAAGTGAATCAAGATCAAAAATTCCAAACTCATCGTCTTCGTCATCGGAATAGCTAGCCGCTGAAAACCCGAAGCTTGACTCGTCGAAATTCACATCCCGACTTATCACCACTTGTCCCGCTCCAATGTCATAGATGCGGTATGCCTTCGACAACTCTTCATATCCAACGAACACACCAGATCGAGCCTTAGGATCCCATTTCTGTCGTTTTTCCTTAGGAGTTAGGACATAGGCCCGACATCCAAAGACACGCATATGCTTGACACTTGGCTTGGACCCATAAACAATCTCAAACGGTATTTTGTTCTTTACCTTGGGTGATTGAAGGCGGTTCTTGATGTAGATTGCCACCATAGCTGCTTCGCCCCAAAAACACTTGTTCAGCTTCGCGTGGTGTAGCATGCTACGTCCAATTGTAACGATGGTCCGGATTGCTCGTTCTGCAGTTCCGTTTGTCTGATGTGCATATGGTACTGTTGCTTGCTGCTCGATATCTTGATCATCGTAACATTGCTTTAGCGAGTTACTCGCAAACTCACGAGCTCCATCATGACGGACGAATTTAACACGCTTACCAAACTGTGTCTGCACTTTCAAGATGTAGCTTGTGATGCATTCTTCAGAGTCCGACTTGGCCTTTAGGCAAATACCTTTCATGCATCCACTTGATTCATCCACAATCAGAAGTAAGTAGCGACTGCCACCCAATGATTCTTGCTCCATGGGACCATAAATGTCAAATGCAGGAGCTCAAACGAATCGTAGCGGCGCTTGACGGGATTACTCGGAAAAGGTTTTTGAACCATCTTTCCTTGCTGACATCCAGGACACAAGCTTGAAGAACTTAACTTGTGCGGCTCACCAGCATCCTTGATCATGT